ACGAAAACGATATAAAAATACAATATAATAAACGAATTATTATATTTATATTCGAAAATAAAAAACAAAACATAAGATGTTAGCTAAATGCAAAGGTGTCGAGGGTTGACCGCATAGGTCGGAAGAAACCGGAGTTGTGCCCATTATGAGATTTTTCGTGTTTGTCCGGAAATTTGAGTTTCTTCTATTAATGTCCACCTAATTTCTTTTTTTTTTTGTACCTATGTCATTTAAAAGGTTTATGTTGTTAACGTATGTATGTTCATCATGAAAAATATTTCTGAAAAAAAATGAAATGTGATTGTGATTCAAATTCAAACCCCTAGTGTAGATCGACGGCCTTCGCTAACACATTGTTGATCTTTACCAACGGCTCTCTTCCCATTTTCTAGATTCCTTTTTGGATAAAATTATGTTTATTAAATTATTTTAAAATAATTTTTAAGGATGAACTATGCATTTGGTACTTAAATTAGCAGTTTTGGTCTATTTTAGTATTTAAACTTTCATTTTCTTTTCAAAACCATACATAACATTTAGTTTTCATTTCATTTTAGTATCTCGCCGTTAAAAACTTAACGCGCTTACTTCTTAATCTATCAGTTTTGGTCTCTTTTAGTACCTAAACTTTCAATCTTTTCAAAACTTAACGTTAAATTTTGAACGAGGATACTAAAATGAAGCAAAAACTAAAGTTTTTAACGGCGGTGCACTAAGATGAAACAAATATTAAATTTTAGGTATGATTTTGAAAAAGTTAAAAGTTTAGGTACTAAAACAAACCAAAACTAATAGTTTAGGTACTAAACGTATAATTTACCCCCTTTTATAAATATTAAAATTTTAAAAGTAATAAAATAAATGTTAATTTTTTATTTTTGTTATATTTTGATGTTATTGCCGTTAATTGGAATGACATAATATAGTATAATTAATAAAAATATGTCTCTGTTAGTATTTAAGTTATAACTAAAATTTTATTTTGGTGTTTTTTTTTAAATTTTATAAGTAATAATTCTAAAAAAAATCATAATTCTTGTATAAAATTCATAATTTACTTTTAAAATTATAAAAAAAGTATTTTTGAATTTTTTAAATCATAAAATTCTTTTTGATATGTAAATACAAAGTAGCGGTTAAATTTGAATATTTTGACCATCCTAACTTACAACACGAGTTTAGTTCATTTATATCTAATACAGAAATTATTAAGATTTTACATTAAAATATATTAAATTATAATTCATCTCTTTTTTTCACCTAACTTTTCTTCAAAATAACTAATCCTCGTTATAAAATAATTAATAAATCATTTTTCTGATAAATTAATACACACTTTAAACTAGTCTACTATCCAATGCACATGTTTAAATTATGTGTAATTAAACTCTCATCTTTTAGAATTTAATTACATTTAGGTCCACTATTAGTTTTACAATTACTTAAATTCAAGTTCCTTTCGATTTCAAGATTAGAAAAAGGGATCCTTCTGAAAAAGAAGAATAATTAAGAAGTAAGTAATTAAGGATGATTAATCGTGGTTTTAATAATTATTTGTCAAATTTATATAATTTTAATTGATATGACAATAGATATAGATATAAATCATTACAGATTATGTAAATTTTGCCGAATTCTAAAAAAAAAAACATATAATTGCTGCAAAACGTTGATTTCATAATCCTTGGTCATTAATCTTGAAATCCACAGGAACTAAATTGTTCTTTTTTAAGATGGGACCAATTCATACAAGTGTAAAATGGAGAGGGACTGTAAATTATGTAATTCGCTGCTGTTGCTTTCTTCCTCTGGGCGTCGAGAATGATGGTGAGCTTCCCAGGCACATAATTGCACAAGCAGACTTTTTGGCCATTCAAATTTGACCTATCCCATCCTCACCAACACCGTTGCCGATTCAAATTACTTCACAAAGCGAAGCAAGCGCTAGAAAACATCAGCACGCAGAACTCATTACAATATTCATCGCCTTCAAATAAAAAACTCCGGCTTGAAAGATTTTTTAGACTTTGGGTTTTTGTTTGTTTATCTACTATATCTCTCTCCCATTTAGGCTTTCTTTTTCAGAGGAGGAGAGCACAGGGATTAGAGAAGATGAAATGTCGAGTTTTGGTGATTGCGATTTGGGTTTTTTGGCTCTCTTTTGATTCAGTTTCAACCAGATTCTTTCCGATTAATATAACCGGTATTCCGCCGTGGATTCTCCACAACGCCACTAAAACCGCCGCATGGGACGCGTTCACCGGATTCGCAGGTTGCCGGCCGGGCGAAACACGGGATGGCTTGTCGAAGCTCAAGATGTACTTTAACTACTTCGGTTACTTGCCCAACTCACCGTCTAATTTCACCGAGGATTTCGACGACGAGCTAGAGAAGGCGTTGAGGACGTATCAGCAGAATTTCAACCTTAACGTCACCGGTGAACTCGACGATCAGACTCTTCGACAGATCCTACGGCCGAGGTTCGGAAACGCCGATATTATCAACGGTACGACTTCCATGAACTCGGGTAAATCGTCGGCCTTCCACACTACCGAACACTTTCACACGACGACGCATTACTCTTTCTTCCCGGAACGCCGCGTTGGCCTTCGACCCGGCGGGAATTAACTTACGGCTTCTTGCCGGGGAACGAGTTCACCGATCAAGTCAAAGCCATCTTCACGAGCGCCTTCCAGAAATGGTCAGCCGTTATTCCGATGACGTTCACGCAAACGGATTCTTACTTCCTGGCGGACATCAAAATCGGGTTTTACAGCGGAGACCACGGAGACGGCGAGCCATTTGACGGGATTCTAGGGACGTTGGCCTACGCCTTTTCTCCAACAAGCGGGATGCTCCATTTTGACGGGGAAGAGACTGGGTTGTTACCGGCGACGTCAGGAGGGCGTCGCTGCCGACGGCGGTGGACTTGGAGTCGGTGGCGGTTCATGAGATCGGGCATTTGTTGGGATTGGGGCATTCGTCGGTGGAAGATGCGATTATGTACCCGTCGATCTCTTCGAGAATGAGGAAAGTGGAACTGGCGAACGATGATATCCAAGGGATTCAATTTTTGTACGGCAATAACCCCGAGTTCAACGGTACTACGAATTCCAATAGTCGGGAGAGAGACACTAGCGGCGGCGTTCACCGTCATTTGGGTTCACGGTGGGGCCTTGGTGTAGTACTGTTGGCAGTTGGGATAAGCTCTTTATTTTTGTAGAGTAATATAATTTACACAATATACTCGGGGTTTTTTTTCAATTAAATAATTACAATTGACATTATTCTTCTCACTGTGTTGTGTACTTGGTAAAAATTAATTATTTACCTTTATATTTCTCTTAATTCTTAAGTCTTATGATTTTATCTCACCCCTAATTCTTGGTTTGATCTCTGATAAAAAGAAATTGTCTTGTTGTCTCTCTCTGCCAAAATTTACCCGTTAATACATCTTTATTCGAATTAATGAAAACCACTTTACTAAAGAAACATCTTTTATGTAATATATCTTATTTTTATGTAACATAATTAATTAAGAAAAAATATCTATAATTTATAAAATGCCTCTTTCTTTGATTTTATAATTTCTAATCTTCAGTTTATATAAATAATCTACGATTTTTATTTTAAAGCTTTGGTCATAATATTTGTAGTTTCTATGAGGTTGTAACATAATTTTTATTTTTATATATTATTAAAATATATTATTTAATTATTAAAAATATAAAAATATTATAAAATATATTAATTTAACAATTTAAATATAATAAATAATTATAAATATATTATTATAATTATTTTAAAATATTAATATATTCATGTCGAGTCGGGTAAGGGTTCGATTTTTAGTCTAAAAATCGAAACAAGTTCAGGGCGGGAAAAACATAAATTTCTCGGGACGGACGAGAATCGGGTTTTACATATATATTTTTGGGTCGAGGTTTGGGCGGCCAAAAACCCGCCCCGCCCTGCCCCGTGCCCATCTATAATGCTATTGCTTGCGCCTAGGGCTGTAAATGAGACGAGACAGATCGCGAGCTACTTGAGATCGACTCGATTAAGGCTTGATAAATACTCGAATCGAATGGACACGACTCGAGTTCTTAACGAGCCGAAACGAGTTACTCGATATTCGACTCAAAAAGCTCGTGAGCAGCTCGAAAAAATATTATATTATAATTTTAGATTTTTTAAAATTACATTATTAAAAAATATATTTAAAATACATTATTGATAATTATAAAATTTTAAAAATATATTAAAAATTCTATAAAATTTTAAAACTATAATGAAATAAAAATATGATTCAATTTAAATATTAATAATTTTAAAAAAATATATCAAAATAGAATGTAACCGATTTTATAAAGAATTAAGAAAGAAAAAACTCATTTAGACTTATATTAATATCTTAATTAACAAAATTAATGACATCAAATCATATTTGAGAGAAAATGATCATCCCTAGTCCCTACTACTAACATGTACCATATAAAATAAAACAAGACAAATCGATTATAGAAAAAAGATTATTAAAATTAAAAAAAAAACAATTTAACAAAACCCTTATTAAAAATATATTTCTAATGATAATATTTTTAATAACTAATTATTTAAATTGTTGTATTATTTTGAGGTTTCAGGTTCAAATATCATAAATATCAAGAGTTTGAGCATTTAATATCAAAATATTATATTGTACTTACCTCATAAATCGATACTAAGTCGATTAATTAATGCCTTTGCAATGAGCCCTAAACCTTAAACCCTAAACCCTAAACCTAAACCTTAAACCCTAAACCCTAAATACTAAACCTAAACCCTTAATCTAATTATATGATAGGGGTTAAGTTATGCACATGAAGATAACATACAAATTATGCAAAATGATGTTATGTGACTCATAAATATATCATTCATATACTTATACATAAACATATCAACATGCAAAATAAATATACACAACTTGCTGATTGAGACATGATTTTTATCATATCTTAATGATGACTATCAACACCGTCATTTTCTTTCAAGCACTGATTCACCAACATGAAGACATGAACTCATGAAGAAAAAGATCAAACTCTTTTAACTTGAGGCTATCTAAAAAAGAAGCTTGAATCCAGATTTTTTTTGTTCTTTGTTCATTTAGCAACAAAGAAGATTGATCTTTGATTTTTTTTTTCTGAGGCATAACCTGAAAGAGGAAGAAGAAAAACATATTTTCATATACAGTCTGACGTGTTTGTGTTTATTTCCTTATGGAATCTGTACAAAAGGAAAACATATGAAGTTCATACAACGTTTTCCTCCCTTTTTTTCATGTAAATTGTGAATCAAATCACCCTTTTCCTGTAATTATATGAGCAACTCAACAGTCAAAATATTACCGGAAACAAGTGTATTGAAAGATTGTCTAACCGTTTAATTAAACAATCACTAACATAACCAATCTACATTCAAAATTATTTGTTCGATGTTCATCGGTACAACAGAGAATCGAGTTCAGAAAAATTATTGACTAAATAATGGTTTCGCGAACTCATACGTTCTCCTTTGAGCTAAAGACCTCAAGATCTGGTTTTTTCTCTTCACCAACGACTGTAGAATTCTCCACAGATTGCTCTGTTCTTTCCAGACTGCAAAATAGTTGCAAAAGAAATAAAATCTTATGGGATTGCAAAAGAAATAAAATCTTAAGGGATTGCAAAAGAACATAGTTCATTATAAGAATAGGAAGTTCACTAACAAGAACCATCAAGTAATAACCTGTCCCTAGAAAACTACATGATGTCAGTTTGAAATAACGTAGTGATTTTACCTTAAACACGAAACTCCTAAGAAAACAAAGTTGTCTTACACTAAGATTTCCTACTGTCTTTTATTTTGACAGGACACAAGAAAGAAGGTACATCATTTTTCTGTTTTAGTTCCATTGGTATTATACATTGCTTTAGTAGAACAAATGTATTTTAGTGTTACTGTTTATTTCATTCTCGCTATGTGATTAATCTGTGTTTGAAATAAAGACTTCACCAACAACAAGCAATCCGACAGTGCTACGAACTTCTGCTAGCAACTTGAACACTTCTGGTATAACTAGCAACCCTACTTATTCAGATAAAGTTCCATAAAGACAATGAGTGTACCATGAATGGCAGTCAAAAAGGTATAATACTGAAGTTACTCAAACTCAATAATCATTATTATTGATCTACAGATGAAATTTCAGTAATGATTCCAAGGAAACCAAGCTTGTAGAGGTACCTTCAGTTATGATTCAAAGAAATGCCAAATATCACTCAAATGCAGAACATGGGATGTTTAAGAAACAATCAAATTAAATTTATCATTTCCTAGCTCAATCATCTCTCAAATTTGAATCTCAATCAATACACCATAAAAAGCCATCTGAATGTTCTAATTGCTCACCTAGTTAAACAACAGTAAAGAATTTCCTCACTTTTCATTTCCCCCTAAAGGTTCCTCAGTGAAAACACCAAAGCTTCCATTTTTAGAACAACCCAATAACAAAGGAACCATTTTTGAACAGAGGAACAAAAGGATTCAAATTCTTGTTCATTTTACATATTGAGCAAAAACCCAGGTGAGGAAATCGACAAACCTGTTGAAAACTCTTGACAATATTCCTAATAGTCTTGCCAACTTCAGGCAACTTTTTAGGTTCAACACAAGAGCAGCCACTCCAGCAATAACGACAACTTCTGGCAACCCAAGACCAAACAAAGCATTGCAAGTAAGGCCCTTTCTAGCAGGCTCGGCTGTTGTCCTCCGTCCTGGTCGACCGACTTCCTAGCGGCCTTCGTGGCTAGCTGCTTGTGTGGAACTTTGCCGCCGGTTGATTTCCTGGCAGTTTGCTTGGTACGAGCCATCGGTATGATAATTTGATGAGAGAAAAGTGGCGTTTGGATTACAAGAAAGCGATAGTAATTTGAAGGGAAGTATTGATATCTCACAAGTGCTCCGCAAAATATCCTATAAATTAAAGTCTAAACTCATTGGTTTAATTTACGGAGTCACGGTGAGCATTCGAGCTTAAAATCGAATTTTAATCGAGTTCGAGTCTCAAGCTTTAGTCGAGCTTTCGAATTAATTTTGAGTTCGATTTTTTTTGAGTTCAAGTCGAGTTTTAATATTATCTTTCGAATTTAAGTCGAACTTAAAAATTTTAAGTTCGCGAATTTTTAAGTCGATTCGAACTTATATTTTTAGTTTTCGAGTTCGAGTTGAGCTCGACAATACTCGTGCTCGGCTCGTTTACACCCCCCTACTTGCGCCCATGCGAGCACCCCACCGCCTTTGATGCCACCTGCAGCAGCACAAAAAATATCGAATGCTATAGATATTAATCCAACTTTATACCGGGCTCGTCTTCATTGAACTAAGTTCCGGTGTGGCCTCCCTCCTCTCCTTTTATTTTATGGATTTTAATATTTTCTTTTGGAATGTGCAAGGCTGCGGAAATCAAAAGTCTGTTACAGCTGTCCGTCAGTATTACGTGACTGTCACTGTAACAACCGATTTTTAAAATAATATTTAATTAAAATTAGAGGGTTTAATTGTGAAAATTTAGCAAAAATTGAGACTGAATTGAAAGATTTTAAAATTTGGAGCTTGTTTTTAAGTTAAAGAAAATTCAGCCACCCTGAATTTAACCTTGGAGTGTCGGCAGACAATTGTTATATGCGTGATTTCTGTTTTGAAAAACAGAAATCAATTTCACAAATTCTTCCTCACGCACACAACTTCCAAACTCGATTCCGACGTTGTCCGAATTCCGATTGTTGTTTTGAAACTACCGTTGTGTTCATCATCGAGCGAGGAACAAACCCTTCAAATTAATTGAAGCGAAACGCGGCCAAACGTCGGGAATTTCCAGTCAAAGTAGCGACGTTTTTGTTAGCTCTATCGCCGAGAGAATCTTAAATTCACCGCTGATCGTTGCTCCGTTTACGACACCTCCCGCACCATCGTGTTCCTTGTGCCGTTCCGAGTCCACCGGTGTTCCCCTTTTTCTCCGGCGGCAGCGGCGCGTGGGGAGGTAAACCGGTCAAACTTCCCGATTTGATGAATTCGAGCTCTCCGACGTTCAAAAATTTGAACCGAGCTTTGTAAGTATCTCGAAAACGCTCAAAATAATTTTTAGAAAATTTTCCGTAATTTTTAGAGCCCCGGAGGACACCTCACGCGCCACACGTGCCGCCGTCGGGCGAGTGAGTGACCGGTTCAACCGGTTTTCTTAAGGGTTTGACCGGTCACGACCCGACCCGTTGACCCGACCCTACCCGTTGACCCGACCCGTTGCCCGGTGCTATTCTAGTAAATAATTCGGTTTTAGTGCTATTCTGATAAATAATTCGGTTTTGGTGCTATTCTGGTAAATAATTCGGTTTTGGTGCTATTTTGGTAAATAATTCGGTTTTGGTGCTATTATGGTAATTATTTTTAAAAGGGTGCTATTTGTGTAAAATGTTCAATAGTTTGTTGACCTCCTTTGACCAGAACTTTGACCGGATTTGACCGGCTATTAAACGATCGTTAATATTTTCCGAGTATACCTATCCTGATAGTTTTCGACGTGCCGAATCCGTTTCCGTGGTCCGTTTTGTCAAATTAGAATTCGAAGGTCTCCAAATCTACGGTCAAAGTGGTTGACTTTGACTTTGACCAAGAATTTGAATTTTCGGAAAGTCATACTTTATGTTTTTTCGACGCCCTGATTCCGATTCCGCAATCCGTTTGGCCAAATTCAGACTCGAAATACCTCAAATTGATAGTCAAACCCGAAAAATGCTTATATACTTAAGAAGTTTAGCTTTGAACAATTAAATAGGATTTGTGACTGATAAATATTATTGTTTGAAGGTACAAGAGACTCTCCGGATCGTTCGACAGCTCGGCCCATCTCTTCTAGATCAGTTAAACCACGTGTGCCAGTATTCACCCGTTCGAAAACTGTAGCAGAGCGTGGTGAAACCAGCAATCAGTAGATTTGCTATTTGAATCTATTGTCGAGGTGTGTTCCCTACTTATTACTGAACTGTTTTATTGGTTTTAATATGTAGTACACCGAATTCATTGGTTATTGTTTTATTGATGCACCAATTTAATGTGACAATTTATGGAATATGGCTGCTATCTAATTTTTGTTTTGAAATGGTATATGATTACCATGTTTTTTGATTTATGGAATTTATGTCACGGTGCAATTGAATTTTGGAATTGAATTACGATGGAATAGCTCTGATCAAGCTAACTGGGCCTAATGTGACTCTTGAGGGCCCCAAGATGTTTCATTAGGCCGGCTTTCCTTTGCTGTGTGCTTAGGGTAAGCTATATGGACTTATTGACTTGGGCTTAAGGATACAAGCTTCAGAGCCTATCCTTAAGTCGGCTTTCTTTTTGCTATGTGCATAAAGTAAGCTATATGGAAAAATAATTTTGGGAACTACTGATGGTGTACCAGAAAAGGGTTTAAACTATGATTTTCAAAAAGTTAAACTCTTTTACGAATTTGTGATATTACTGGACTATGATTTGTACCTATTGTGATTTTATGGAAATGTTGGGACACACTGAGCCTAGCTCACCTTTTGAAAATGTTTTCCCCCTTTCAGATACTGTTGGTTAGATACCTCGGTTCGAGCACTTGGAGGATCAACATATCTCTTGAAGTAAATCAGATTGTAATGTTTTTATCTGGCAAGTTGATTTTATTTTGGTGACATGGACCTTATTTTAAAATATCGGATTTTATAATGATGATTTTGCTAATACTGCTCGGTTTATTGTGATTTTGAATTTGAAGGCATGTTTTAAATTAAATTATTATTTATTGGTACTATATTTACGAGTTGGATTTTGATAGTATAATTTGTTTATAATTTCATGTTATTTATAATGTGATTTTATATTGATGGAATAACGGTTTCGAAAAATGTCTTTAATAATCATAATGTGATCCACTAGACTTAGTCGAAACGCATAGGCCGGGTCTAGGGGTTACAGTCACCCTGATATTTTTTGTTTAGTGGAACCTTATATCAGCGGCATCCATGCTGATTCTATCATTGCTGTTCTTGGTTTTCAGAATTCCCATCGAGTAGAGGATGCCTATTTGTCATGTGGCATCTGGCTTTGTTGGCGTGATCATCTTGATGTAGAAATTCTATCCAATCACTTTCAATACATCCACTATCCTGTCTCTAGAAGATTCGACAACAAAATGTTCCTTGTCACGATTGTTTACGCTAGCCCGAACACTTTAAAGCCGCACTCTCTCTGGTTTAATCTCCACTGTCTTGCTTTGACAATCTCCTCTCCTTGGATTATTTTTGGCAACTTTAATGCCACTATTTGTTCCTCAGAATGTCAGATTGGTGCAAACTCTTCAAGACCATTCAAGCTTTTTCAAGAGTTCATTTACAATTGTGGCTTACGTGATATAGGATTCCACGACCCCAAATTTACTTGGTCCAAGGGAAATTATAATGTCCGACTTGACAGATTCATATGCAATTTTCATTGGGATGAAGCCTATCCCGTGTCTATGGTTGAGCGCCTTACGCGCCTGCGATCGGACCATCTGCCACTTATCCTTCGGCTTGGGGGGCCTCCTATTCACTCCTCCAAGAAACTTTTCCGCTATTTCTCTGGTTGGCAATGACATCGATTTTCAGCGCATGGTTGAAGATAATTGGAAGTGAGTGTTAACCTCTCGGAAACTATCATGAATTTCACAAAAAAAGCAGACACCTGGAATGAATATGTTTTTGGTTACATTGGCAAGAAGAAGTGGTCCTTAAATGGCTCGCTTGTGTGAAATCCAGCGAGCCTTATATACCCCCACTCAAGTTTTCTAATTAATCTTGAGAATGAGTTGCTTGTCGAACTTGAAACCGTCCTTGATCAGGAAGAACTCCCCTGGCGTCAAAAATCAGGAGCCAGTTGGATCGTTATGGGAGATAGAAACACCAAATATTTCCACGGAAAAACTACTCTCTGAAAACAACGTAACAAAATTTCTTGCCTTAACTTAACGATGAAGAGTGTGTGAGCAATGATAGCACTCTCATGGTGAGGCAATTAGCTATTTTCGCATGCTTTACTAACTGGATAATCGCCCCCATGGTAACTTTAATCTTCGTGGTTGTTTTCTTCATGTGCCTTCTTCCACGATGTAGGCTCTTGACGATGTCCCTTCCGAAGAAGAAATTCATGCGGCGCTCACTGATATGGCTCCACTAAAATCTCTTGGTATCGATGGTCTCCATTATGAGTTTTTTCAAAAAAAAAATTGGAGTATTGCCGGTAACTCAGTTTGTGCGATTATTCAAAATATTTTTAAAGGTGGCTCTATCAAAGAAGACGTCAACCGTACCCTCCTCGTTCTAATCCTTAAATCTGATGCTCCATATTTTTTAGGGATTTTCGGTCCATTAGTCTATGCTCAGTGATTTATAAGATGCTCTCGAAAGTTATTGTTCGTCCTTTGAAGCCAATTATACCATTTCTTCTGAAGCCTAACCAAACAAGTTTTGTTGTCGGACAGAACATCACCGACAATATCATTATCAACATGTCGAAATGATTTTTCCTTAAGAGTGAAAAAGCGAGATTTTGAAAAACCACATTAATTTTTAATTTACCTCTTTCAATTGATTTTTAATTTAAAAAAAATGCGATATAAAAATCTCTCGTTTCGAAAAATTTGAAATTCTCTTTTCGTTAAAAACATATTGTACAAAGAGTCGCCACCAATCTTTGATTAGGGTGTGATTGGGCACCCAAAAATGTATTGTTATTTTAAATAAAATAAATAATAAAAAATTAATTTTAATTAAAATAACAAATTAAGGTCTGCATTACCAAA